ACAAACCACTAAAATCTGTGGGTGGCCGAGGCTCTACGCAGCTCAGAGTATCAGTTCCAACTTCACTCACCACACGGGTTAACCTCGTTCAAGGAGTCTTTTCAAGTTTCCAGTTGAGTCACGGATGATTCACGATTAATCAATTTTGGGTTCTATTTTTCTTCATTCTTTTGCGGATTCTTGGTTTCGTTTTTAAGTTAACTATGTGATTTTTTTAGATAGAGATCAGTTGTTCATTAACTATTTTCATCTCCTCCATGTATTTCTCTGCCTGAATTTTCAAGTCGTGTGGTTTGACCTTTTTCTTTAGTGACAGTTGCATTGATCGCAAGAAAATCTGTTTGTTGTTATGATTTTTACTTTTAAAGTTGTTCGTTAATGCATGTATTCATATCAGATGAGCTTTAGAGCCGATTTTACGATTTAGGATGAGAGTGATTTTATAGTGATATGTATATGCATCTGATTGTGAAAACAAACTAATAACTTACAAAATCAGAATGTTAAATCCGATTTATTCTTCGCGGTTTTCTTACAGGTTGAGTACTGAGTCCACACCTTGTTAAGTTTAAGGAAGGAACTTGAACAGTATCATGGGTACTAAGGCATTAGACTATGAGACACTGAATGAGAACGTGAAGAAAGTTCAATATGCAGTTAGAGGCGAGTTGTATCTTCGAGCTTCTGAGCTTCAGAAGGAAGGGAAGAAGGTATATTTTGCTTGTTTTCTTCTTATTGAACATGTAGTTTGACTTCTTATGCATCTTCTTGAACAACTAGTTGGCGCAGAGGTTTTTATGTGGTTGCTTTTGGCTTTTGTAATAAAGGAAAAATGTGTAAATCCCTACATATTCTTTATTGGGGCATTTGAAATTGTTGTTCTTAGATTTTTTGAGAAATTATCATAACCAGTATCTCGCACTCTTCCGCTAAACTTATATAGTACTTATTTACCACACATGGCTTGTACTTTAATTTTGTTTTGAATTGTAAGTTATTTATTGTCTTTTGAGTATTCAGTGATGCGACTACTAGTTTCTTAGTGAAATGCCTGCCTTGATTGATTCTGTTTTCATCTTTTGGCTGAAATTTTCGCAACGTAGGATTCTTGCTGTTGAACACAATTAAAATGTCTGCATGAACCACTATGCAGGGTATGTAGTACCTACAGTTTACTAGAATCCACTACGTGCTGGGAGAGTGTGAATTTCCACGTGTTTACTGCTTCTCAAGAAGAATTTTTTTCAGAATTAATTATATGTTTTGGTGTTCTAGGGAGTATGGTTGATGCTTTTCCATGGATTAGTGACTAGAACTTTATTAATATGGTACTATTAAATTTTCAAAAAGAAACATAGTGTGCTTATGTCAATTTTTAATTGCTTTAATTTTATTTCTGCAGATTATTTTCACAAATGTTGGCAACCCTCATGCTCTTGGACAGAAGCCACTGACTTTCCCTCGCCAGGTATAAAGTTCTATGTAGTTCAGTTTTCATTTGTTGGAAATATTCTGTGTTGTTCATTCGGTTGTTAATAGTATGTGCTGAACCAACAAAATGTGCTACTGCAGGTGGTTGCTCTGTGCCAAGCTCCATTTCTGCTAGATGATCCTAATGTAGGACTACTGTTTCCTGCAGATGCAATTGCAAGAGCTAAACATTATCTTTCAATGACTTCTGGTGGTCTAGGTATATCATCATGTTATTTATAGGAAAAGATCTGTCAAACCACCTGAAATATCACCCTGTCATTTAATAACTCATGCTTTGTTTTCTTCAGTCTATATACTTGTTAAATAATCTGCCAGTTGAGTCTTTATCTTGTCATTTATTTAAGGTATGCTTATGTTTTGCTGAATCTCATTATTTTGTATAAATACTTATCTGGCCATTTAGCCCTTTCTTTCCCATACATTAGTCTTCAATTTTAGTTAGTACTTTACAATCATGCTATTGTAGCTGATCTAAGAACAGTTCCTGAGGGTTCAAAGAATTTAAAGGATTCGAATATGATCTACAATATAATTAACATTGTTCCTACACCATGTATCTAGGTGCATATAGTGATTCCAGAGGTCTTCCTGGCATAAGGAAGGAGGTAGCTGAATTCATCGGAAGGCGTGATGGGTATCCTAGGTGATAATCTAGATGCTATCACTGATGATATTTACTTTTCTCACAAAAGAATTCTCATTTTTGGTTCCCAAGTTGTAAGCTTAGTGGTTATTACCTTCTTTTACCATTGGCAGTGATCCAGAACTCATATTTCTCACCGATGGTGCCAGCAAAGGTGTGATGCAGATCTTGAATTGTATTATCCGTGGTCAAGGGGATGGGGTAACATATTCTGCTCATCCATTTTGCTAAAACATAATTCCATCATCTATTATCATCTTTTTTCAACATCCCAGTTTAATTTCTTCTGGCTTATAGTTTAGAGATTTACCATGTTCCCAGTGTGTAATGCTGTACTCCATTAAAAATTTTGCATTGCCAGGTTTTGGTTCCTGTCCCACAGTATCCACTTTACTCAGCTACAATCTCTCTCTGTGGTGGTTCTCTTGTTCCTTACTACCTGGAAGAGACTGCAAATTGGGGGCTGAATGTTAATAATCTACGCGAATCAGTCGCACAGGCTCGCTTTAAAGGAATAACTGTTAGTATACTTGTTCTCTCGATTGTTTATAAAAGAATTTGAGAAATATGGTCTGAAACTGCACAAACATCATAATTGGATGAATTGATTTATTTTGGCTGGAACCAAACAGTTTTTACGTCCCAAATTTATTTTCTCTACTCAACTCGTAAATGCTGTTTGTTCCATTTGGTTTGGATACTACAGTAGCTATCTTTATTTTGGTATGAAATACTCTTTCCCTAATACATGCCACCACCAACTGAATCTCTTTTATGTTTGTATGTGACCAGGTAAGAGCAATGGTAATTATTAACCCTGGCAACCCTACTGGTCAGTGTCTCAGTGAAGCTAATTTAAGAGAAATATTGAACTTCTGTTACCAAGAAAACTTAGTTTTACTTGGAGATGAGGTTTATCAACAGAATATATACCAGGATGAGCGCCCCTTTATCAGTGCTAGAAAGGTAGATGCTATTTTGCTGTTAGCTCAAACCACATCTGAGTCTTTGCATGGAGTTTTAACTTTTTTTTTAATTGCATGTTTTTCCTTGTACCACTGGAAGATTTTGATGGATATGGGGCCACCCATGAGTAAGGAAGTCCAGCTTGTTTCTTTCCACACTGTGTCTAAAGGATATTGGGGTGAATGTGGGCAGCGGGGTGGATACTTTGAGATGACCAACATTCCTCCACAGGTTTGTGTTGTTTTAATTTGCCTAACGATTTTCATGTCCTTCAGAGGGAGCCAAGAATTTCTCCCAAATGTCAATACATGATGAAATGTGAAATAATTTTAGCACCATTGCTGTTGAATTTTCACGGTAAAATGAAATCCAAATGAATTGAAAACACATTATGACTCGAAGTTCATGGGTCATATAGAAGAAGGTATTACCAGTTATTTTCCCAACTTTGATGTTAATCTCAAACGGGTAAATTTATTATGATTCTTGTTATTTATAATCTCAACTAAATTGCTTTGCCATGTTGTTACATACATACTTCACACGCATTCTTCTTTTTATCATTCTTCTTACCTGATGTAGGTTGTAAAACAAATATAAACTGGATTCTTGAACTGGTGCTCTGTTCTGTTTTGCTTTCATGATTTTATATTACAGACAGTTGATGAGATCTACAAGATTGCATCAATATCACTCAGTCCAAATGTTCCTGCTCAGATATTTGTGAGTTGATGTCATCCTATTTTCTGTGAACTTGGGCACTTTAATGTTTCTGACTTTCTTTTCTAGTTATGTTAGCTGTAAGATAAATAAGCTTCCTCTTCTCTTTACAGATGGGGTTGATGGTCAACCCACTCAAGCCTGGAGACATTTCATATGAGCAATTTGTTAGAGAAAGGTATGCCTGCTAAGACAAGCTTGCAATGACTTGGTGCGCTGATGCATATGTTTCCTTCTGGTTAAATAAAAAAGGATGGTGCATTTTTCATCTTTCTTATGGTCATGTTGAACAGATGCCTCGTGTTGATGCATTTTTTAACCATCTAAATTTGGCATGTTAGAAACTACTTAGAGTAGGTTTTTCGGTCATGAGTAATACTGTAAGAAAAATCCATAAGTTGGTTTGAACTTTGGAATGTTGATTTCCTCAAATAAATGGAAAGGAGCTTTGTCCTTTAGCTTTAATTAACAATGCCATTTAAAACTTGCAGCAAAGGAATCCTTGAATCACTGAGAAGAAGAGCAAGACTAATGACTGATGGATTTAACAGCTGCAAAAATGTGGTTTGTAATTTCACTGAAGGTAAATAGTTGTTCTCAAGTCTCCACATGTAATTCGAAATTTTCTTTTTTGTGATTCCTCGGTACTTTCTTGCCGGTAATAATACAGGTGCCATGTATTCTTTTCCTCAAATTCGCTTGCCACCAAAAGCTTTAGAAGCTGCCAAAAAGGCAGGAAAAGTTCCAGATGTTTTCTATTGTCTCAAGTTGTTGGAAGCAACTGGCATCTCCACTGTCCCTGGCTCCGGATTTGGACAGAAAGAAGGGTACTTCTCCATTTATTCATTACCTTAGAATTTTCAATAATAATCTTTCATGTTGTCCTACCAGAAAGCTTCTTCTAAGCTTACCGTTCTCAAGAATTTTTTTTTCTTTAAACAATGTTTGTTTGTTTCTGTTTCCTTTGGTCATGTTAGAAAATATGCATGGATCTGTTTCTAATTACCTAAGTGCCTTTCTAACAATATGCTTTCCCTAAACAGGGTCTTCCACTTAAGGACAACAATTTTACCTGCTGAGGAAGACATGCCCGAAATCATGTCAAGTTTCAAGAAATTCAACGAGGAGTTCATGGAGCAATATGAAGATAATTGGAGTCACTCAAGAATGTGAAGGATGTTTTAAATTCTGATAACTGTATTATATTAATTGGCTATTGCAAGCCACTTTATACATGTGCAAACTTTATTTATGTTCTCCCTTTTCTCGAGCAATAAACTTCATGCTATTGAAGACTAGCCCTCCTTCTTTCTTTTTCTCCATTGGCATCCCTCAAATACTATTAATTTTTAAACCAAGGCCTTATTGGGCCTCTGGTATTGTCATAATATAGTTGAATGCAGTAGCTGATCTGTGAACAAGTATTGGATCAAAATGCTAAATCTATCTGATACAGTGTACAATTGCTATAATTCCAATGTGAACTCTTATCTGTCTGCCTGTTCAGGACCTGTTGCCGGCTCTGATCAGAAACAGGATTTGCCACAAAGCCATGACCATCTGGATACTTGTTCCATCCTGCGTCAAACTAATTGCAGAACTACTATGTAGTCATCGTTTATAAAAGTTGGAGGTCCACAACTCTGCTGTACCTATCAATATGAACAAAACGTACATCTTAAAGGAAGAAAATGGAACCTTTCTCCAACCAAATGAAGCAGAAGCAGTTGTTTTAGCATCTCCTTAGTAGGTGGGTGGGAGACCTGGAGTTGGAGTTTTAACTTTTAATCTCATTGGCATCAGACATTAGTGATCAGTCCCTTGCTGAACAAAAAAGGTAGATTCCTTCTAAGTACCCTTTACAGAACCAGCTGCCATCCCTTTGTTTTCCAGTTGCCTATGACACTTCATACAAAAAACAAAATTCTGAATTATGGGTTTTTCTCTCCCATCAATCTGCTACTGATTTCTCAAGCACCAGAAATCCAGGATCCTCCTGAATGACACATGCTGCTGTAATATATGCGTCATTGAGCTTGTTCCCAAAAGGCACCGGGATGACTCTGCTACTGGCAAATTAATGTTCTGTTTTAAAGTCCTGTCAATTTGTTTGAAATTTCGACTGTATTTTTATTGTATATTGGCCAGCTGCCACAGGCATAAGGTGGTGACTGATGACCTCTGTATCTAAATCCTGTACATTTTTGCCTCTTTAATTACCCTTTTTCTGGCCATTTGTTCACGTATTTATTTGGATGACGTTTATTTGACGTCAATTTATGTTGCTTTCGACATTTTACCAACAAAAAAAAATTTATTTGGAGTTTCATGCAACAGTTGCTTTTCAATGTGAAAAAAAAAAAAAAAACTCCATTTTAACTCAATTTTAACTTTCATTTTTTAAAATATTATATTGAATTAAAATTTTAAAAATATGTTTTGAGATTTTTGAAATTAAAAACTTATAAATCTTATTTTTAAATTTTTTAATTTTATAATTTTATTAAAAATAATAGTCAAAGTTGACTTAATTTAATAAAAAAAATCAACAAAAACAATAATTTTGAGACGAGAAGTATTATTATTGGAATTTCTTTATAACAGGATTAAGGATATTTTTGTTTAAGTTGAATTTAAATTTTAATTATTGAAATTAATCCGATAATTAAAGATACGTATTTGATTTGCATGTTTCAGCCAGCAGAGGTTTGATTGTGGACTAAAATAGTAATATGCATGCAACATCAAACTCTACTCTTGGTCTGTGCTCACTGCAGACATGATCTTAGCATGATTTTCCTTTTATGTTCTTTGTGATAAGGGATCAAATTTTACCTTAAATTAGAGTTTTGCAAATACCAAAAGGAGTTCCCTCTTTTTCTATTTCCATCATAAAGATTTTGTTGGCAGATAAAAACCAAAAATAAATAAATTGTTCTTTGAATTGCATCGTGATTTGATTCGATATATGAGAGATTTTTTTATTTTTTATATTTAATTTTGTTTAAAATTAAATTTTAATTATTGAAATTTTTTTATCTTTGATAGAATAAAATCCAATTAATTAAAAAGTGTTAATAAAAACTGATTAAATATAATTAAAATATATATTTTAAAAATTTACATTTAATACAATGGTTTTAGTAAATTCAAAAAAAAATAATACATAAATTACATTTTTTTCTTATATATCATCTTAACTCGTGCAATTAGAGACTGATTAACATTTCTTCGTAATGTTATACTTGATCTAAGATTTAAAAACTCAATTTAAATTATCATTGGTCTATAAAGCGAAAGCATTCTCGTTTGAATCTTTCTTTCTTTCAAAGAGGCTTTAACTTATGGCCGAAGAAAAGGAAAAAACGTCGTTAAATAAGGCTTTTACTACTAGTTTTAGTATTTAACCAGAAAGGAAATATTGCAAACAAAGAGGGGAAAACTGAAAACCAGACATTGTAAAATTTGCAAAAGAATTGGCAAATTTAGACGAGTATATATGAAAAAAAAAAAAAAGTGATATGATTTAAATTTTTTGTAAAAATTAAATATAGATTTATCTGTATTTGATATATTAATATAAATTATCATATGATAATTTTTATATTTAATAAATGTTTAATATAAAAAAATTATCAAATATAAAAATAAATAAACAAAAATATTGAAAAGAATATGCGGGAAACTATTGGTGATCCCTATGTCCACCACCCCCAAAAATTGCCGCTAAATCCCAGTTACTCCCCCAACCCCTTTTTTTTATTTATTTTTTCCTCTGAAGGCTGCCCGCGGTCAGTTAGATGAACGGGCAACGTATAGAAGTAGTGTAGTAGTTGTTTTTGGCGTTAGTCTTTTTTTTTTTTTGCTGTCTTGCTTATGTCACGAGTTTCCTCGGGTTCTCTTTTTATTTCTCCCCGATTGGTTTAAACGCAACATTCAACATTGCCTCCTCCAATTACTTCTTGCTTTCACTTTCTATCATTATTTTTATCTTTTTTTTTTTTTTTTTTACATTTAAAGGCCCTTTGCATTTAGCTGAAACATTTCTTTTTCTCTCAATGTTCCTTCAGCCCTCCACTGTCCTTCTTTCTTGCTAACCAAAACCTCTTTCTTTTCCAACACTTTCCTTTTTGATTCTCTCCACAAAGGGAAAACAAAATAAAAAGATAGAAAAACCCATTTTTATTCCCTTAATCATTTATTCCATTATTCCTTCCTAGCTAGCTATAATTATAGTTGAAAGTTTTGGGTTGGGTTTTTGATCCAAGGATATGGGGGTTTCAGGGAAGCCTCAAGTAGATGGAGGGTTAGAATCCGATGGCAAAAAATGGGTTATTGCAGGGATTTCTTTACGAGCTCCATTGAAGCCTATATGTACAAACCCTCCAGTGGAGAAAGATAAAGAAAGTGACGATCACCAAGGAGACGAATCGTGTTCAACCACACCAACGGGAGAAGGAGCTAGAATTCAAACGATATTGACGTGTCCACCTGCACCAAGGAAGCGAAAACCTACTTTGAAGTGTAACTATGGAAGTGTTAGAGAGTTCTTTACTCCTCCGGATTTGGAGACTGTCTTTATACGCCATGTTGAAGGGGCTAATTATAACTAATATATTCATCAAAACAAGCTTGGCGCTTTGGCTTTTGCATCCCACATCTTGTCATCTGCTTATCGTTTTATTATACTCTTACTTTTCCTTTTTTTTTCCTTCTGTTTTAGGTGATTTTGTACTGATTAGTAGAAGTTTATGTACAGGGGAATTCATAAATAAATTAACATGGAAATTTAGCTTCTTTGGGTTCGTTTTTGTGCTTCATCTAACTACCTTCTGAATGTGGAAAAATGGGAGCGGGCTTTTCTTTCTCCTTTCTATATTTATATTAAATTTCTACCTTCTGTGTTAAATCTATAAAATTTTAAAGTATCCGTCTTTTAGTTAAGAAACGGAGATCATTGATCTGGGTTGTCTTCCAGTTTATATGATCTTACTATTTTTTTAATGTTCTCTTGTTGTTGCTGCTCTGTTGTTGTTTGAAACTTTAGCAGCTAGTACTATTCATGTTCATGCGTGGAAGTGGCACATGCAAGTCAACATCTAGCTGAGGTTCTACAAAAGGTTTTCAAAGGGAAAGTAAAGGTAAATCCTTTTCGAAGGGCAAGGTAGATGCGCACGGATGTTTCACACCAGCTGATTGACCGAGACAAATCCCTAAAAATGCTTAGTCTTAGCCCAAAGACCTACTGCCCCATCATCCCCTCTTTAGACTTTAAGCTTAGTTTTTCACCGTCCCACCCACCTCGGACTCTTATGATAGTGGGAAGGTTCTTTTGTGATAACCCAAGGAGAAAAAAAAAAAAAAAAAAGGAGAAAACATATGTGGGGAGACTTGGATTAGAATCCTATGCAAGAGTTTGACTGGACCATATTATATTTAACTCTTCCAAGTTCCAATCCCTCAAGTTTTGCACACCAATAATTGACAATATCACTCGCATCTGCATTTCTTAATCTTTATAGTAAATACTAATTATTAAATTGAGACAATGGAAATGGAATGTTTTATTAACAAAAGTAAAAAAAAAAAAGGTTAATCCATTTGTCCGTAACTGAAGATTGCGCGGCAATCAGCAGCATCCAGGGATAGTTAAAGAAAAAAAAAAGTTGACGGGGGACTTCACCTAATCTGGCGTTCATTTTGTACTCTTAAACAAAGCTTTCTCGGGATCAGAGCTCTGAGATTAAGCAATAATGTTTCAACACGTCTTATAAAGTAAAAGGTTGAGAATCTCTTGTGGCCTCTCTATCGTGAAATCATTTTGGATTAGATTATTCACTAACTCCTCCTATCTAGTGGTATATCTTATTGGAGACCACATGGAAAGCATATATTATATTTTTATGCTTTCGGCAATGTTACCAGTCCTCGGTGGCTAATTTGTCATTGATTGTTAAAATTTTTAGTAATTCTTTGGTTTTCCTGAGTCTGTTTTTCATCACTTGAAGAGACCAGGGAGCAATTGGGATCATGCAAGAATATATATATATATATATATATATGTTGAGAAGATAGATCAATTTACTTTGATACTTTTGTCATTTCCAGAACCACATAAAATTATGCTTATTTACTTACTCTAAATTAACTTTTGCTTAACTCATTGTGAAATTTTTTGTTATAAAAATTTGATTAATAAAAAATTTGATTAGACATATCAATTTTTGTATTTATATAATATTTATTTTTATTAAAATATGTTAAATATAAAAATTATCATATGATAATTGATATTGATATAATAAACATAAATATATATTTTAATTTTATCAAATTTATATTAAATTTTTTTCGATTTTAAATCATTTTATTTTTATATTTTTTTATCGTTTCATACAATGTTTAAATTACTAAGTATATGTGTAAATTTGATCAAATAAGTTCGCTCTATCTGAATCCTTAGTCAATATTTGATGCTGTAACAAAGCAGTTGGCAGAATTGCATTTAATATTGTTATAATAAAATAAAAAGAGTAAAATAAAGAAACATTAATGCAATGCAATCCATGATGTGGAGTACTGTTGATGTAATCCTTTAGATCAGCTTTGCACTTTGCAGATGCAACCTAGCTAGCTAGCTACACAATGGGTTACTGAGATCTCTGTGCTGCCAATACTACGAGAGAGAGAGAGAGAGAGAGAGAGAGAGAGAGAGAGAGTGGCTCAGGCTTGTGAAATTTGCATCCATATCTCCGGAGGCATTACACATTAGGATTAAGAGTATAATTGGAGTCAAATTAAATAGTGAGAAGTTTGAGTTTGAGTTCGATTTATAATTTAAAGTTTGATATTTGATTCGAATTCGATCGAGTTTTATTTTTTAAGCTTAAACTCGATTCGTGATTAAATTCGAATTACTTAAGTTCGTTCGATTAAGTTCGATTAATATGTAAAAATAAGTTTGATTCGTATATTTGATAAGAATTTGATTATTCATGTTTAAACTCGAACTCGAAATATTTTATTAATTAAAATAATAAAAATATATTTAAATATAAAAGCTTAATCAGACTCGCGAGCTACTCGAGTCGGATATAAGAATATTCGAACTCGACTCGATTGATAAGTCGAGCTACTCAAATTCGAGTTCGATTCAATAATAATCGAATCGAATTCGAATTTTTTTCGAATCGAATTCGAATTTTTTTTTAATCGAATTCGAGTAATTTGTCAATACTAATATATCATTTATACCTTTATTATATATCACGAGATATCCCCTTGAACGTACTGCAAATCATATCCGAATTCAATTCCTTTTCACTTTAAATTGTTACCGAATTTATCAAGGATTAACAAATCGTGAGATTGAGTTTAGTGTAATAAAAATAACGATAATAATGAAATTAATTGAAATTAAATATTATGATAATAAAATTATATAAAATTAAATATTTTGATAATATTATATTTTTAATTTTAATAATTAAAATTTAAAATTTGATCGCTTTAATTTTAAAAAATATTATAATAGGGAGATTAAAATTATTAATAAAAAATATATTTAAATATAAATATAATAATAAAAAATTTTATTTTTATACTAAAATAATAAATTGTTCTTTTAAGATAATCAGCTGTTTCTCATTCAGCATGTAATTGGAATACAACTAAAAATAATTGCATCGGGAGATGCTATTATACTAATTCCCAATACAATTAGCCTATTAAAAAAAAAGTACTGGATTTCACAGCACCGAATTTGTAACAAAAGATTTACAGAAGCCGTTCCAAAGCCTCGATATATAAATATTGAAAACTATTAAATCCAAAACTTTTTTTTTGTTTTTGTTTTTTTTTTTCCGGGGCTGTTCGAGCTAGCAAAACCGGCTCTGGAAAAAAAAAATTGACAACACTTAGCTAGATGTGGTTTAATTGCAAGGCTGTCGGGAGTGCTGGGCTCTGAACTTTATTACAATTGATTGCGAGGTTAGGAACTAGCTTCTAAGTTAATAACTCATCGTTTTGCCGTGGCAACAAAGCAATTTGATTTGTTTGGCTTTGTGGGGGCCATGAGCAACGTGCGAGAACATATTAGGTGATCTAACTGGAAAAGTAATTGGCAGCAAAAAACAATAGATTCAGTCAAGTGAAGTAGGGACGGGTCTCAGATCCAACAAAATCTTTGTGGGCTGTTTACGTAGCTAACACATCATGTGGGGAGGACTGCGCAGCAGAGTAAAGCCACCACCGGCAAGTTTGACCGGTGAACAATATCTGGGGTCAATGCTTAATATAGGTTTTAAATTGAATATCCCTTCGGTTGACCGATTATGGGGTCATCATTGAATATTATCGTTTGGCTTGAATTAAAATATTTTTGAATACATTAAGTAAAAAATAAATATGATTGTAGACATTCAATTTGATTCAGATTCGAATCAATTGAATTTTATTCAAATGAGTAGATTTATTTTATATTTTTATATTTTATTTATATTTATTTATTTATTTATATTTTTTTTTTTTTTGTATCTTATGTATTTATTTATTTATTATTATTATTTATTAATATTTATTTATTTTATTTATTTATTTATTTATCTGTTAATATATATATTTATTATTTATCTATTTATATATTATTTTATCTATTATTATTATTTATTTATTAATATTTTTAATTATCTAATTATTTTTTTAATTATCTTTAACATTTTTATTTCTTTTTATTTTCTTTTTCTTTTTATTCGGCTGAGATTGGGATGAAAATTTAGAATTTCATTGTGAATTTAAGATTCAATCAGAGTTCATATTGGATTCAAGGATTGAATCCCAATCTAAGGAGGAGTTGGGATTGATTAGAAACTCTTCTGATCTATCCCTATAAATAGAACCACGAATCACAAAGACCAAGACAAGAAACCTAGACATTAACTGAAAGAGAATGAAAAGAGAAAGAAAAAGGCGTCCAGAAGGGTCAGAAGCAATTTCAGGATTTTTAAAAAATTTTGGCGAATTTTTTTTCTGAAAATTTCTGAAAAATTTTTAGATTCTGGTTGAATTTTTTGGTGAAGTTTGAATTTTTCGGCCAGCTACCCAGTTTTCAGTGACTATTGCCAGAAACCGATCAACTTTTCGGTGAATTTCTGACGAAAAACCCAGATTCTGATGAAATTTTTCAGAATCTGACGAGATTCAACCGGAGTTCTTCGTCTGCTTAAGAAAAGAGAGAGGAAGGAAGGGAATAGAGAAAGAGAGGGAAGGATCGATCTATTGAAAAACAGAAGAATTAGCTTTTTATACCTGTTGAAAATGATGTCGTTTTGGCATTACTTTGCCCAGAGGATCCACGCATTTTGAAATCGGGTGACCCGACCTGAGCGTCAACCCGCTTTTGACCCGCGTGCAACCCGAGTGCCAGCCGTTTTCGAAGCCGAGCCAAGCCATGTCTTTGAGCCATCCTTTCTTCCTCAAGTCGAGCAGAGCCGAGTCGTTAAGTCAAGCCGTTCACAGGTTTTTTATTTATTTATTAATTATTATTATTATTATTATTTATTAGATTAGAATTGTTTAGTATTTTTTTATTTTCTTTATTTTTATTTTATTTTATTTTTGTTATTATTTTCTTTAAATAAATTCAAAAAATAATATTTTTAAGGAAAAGTTAAAAGTATCAATTTTTCTTGAAAATAAGTCTTTAAAAAAATATTTTTGAGAAAAAGTTGAAAGTATTAGTTTTCTTTGAAAATAAGTTTTTCAAAAAAATATTTTTGAGGAAAAATTGAAAGTATCAAT